TATATTCGGGGGACTTATATTCGGGTGGGCGTATATTCGGGGGGGGGGCTTATATTTGGAATGAGGTGAGCGTTAGCACATGTGGTGGGCTTATACACGGGGGGGGCTTATAGTCGGAGGTTTACGTTAATGTTTTGATTGTTATCCAAACAGGTTGCACAACGTGATATTATGAACAGTATTGATCGTGAAATGTCTGGAGATCTCAAAAATGGTTTCAAATGCATTGGTATGATTTGTTTTGTACATTATATATACAGCTATTTCAATTAATGTTGTCATATTGGTAGGCCATTCCAGCTACAGACTAAATTTTGATCAAGACAAGCTAGAAGAAAGAAATCCAACGCCACAGCTAGAATGAGCGCCTTAGAATGAGTAAAACTGCAAAGATTAGTTGCTAAATGTTGTAAAATGAAGAAAATATAGCCATGCGAAGTTCGCAAATTTTGTATATATTTGTACTACGCGCGTGAAAAATAACCATTTTGAGCCGAAAGTGGTTATTTTTACCGCGCGTAGTACAAATATATATAAAAATTTGCGAACTTCTCAGGGCTATATTTTCTTCCTTTTACAACATTTAGCAATCAATCTTTGCAGTTTTACTCATTCTAAGATGCTCTTTCTAGCTGTGGTGTTGGATTTCGTTCTTCTTGCCTTGATCAAAATTTAGTCTTAATTTCTTCTTTTACGGTTTCCTAAATTCCCATCTACAAAGTCATGTTATATTAATCACGTGACGCATCCTAATTTCATCTTTTACAGTGCAATGCGCCCGCAATCCTGCCGTGTACTTTGCTGAACGTCTCTGGAAGAGCATGAAGGGCGCTGGGACGAATGATTCTCTTTTGGTTCGGATTATCGTTTCACGCTCTGAGGTGGGTGCTAGGCAGGATGTTGGCTGGCTATGTGGGATAGTTCAGAACTGATAGAGCTATCCGGTATTTATAAATATAGTTTAGTTTACGTTTCCTCCTGTAATAACACTGGATCAATAAGAGATGACCCTTACTGGACCTCTAGGGAGAACAGTTTAGAACTGATAGAGCTATCCAGTATAAATAAATTTATAGTTTAGTTTAGTTTAGTTTAAGTTTCCTCCTGTAGTAACACTGGATCAATAAGAGATGATCCTTACTGGACCTCTATAGGGAGAACAGTTTAGAACTGATAGAACTGATAGAACTATCCAGTACATAAATAAAGTTAGTTTAGTTGAGGTTTCCTCCTGTAGTAACACTGGATCAATAAGAGATGATCCTTACTAGATCTTTAGGAAGAACAGTTTAGAACTGATAGAGCTATCCAGTACATAAATAAAGTTAGTTTAGTTTAAGTTTCCTCCTGTAGTAACACTGGATCAATAAGAGATGATCCTTACTGGACCTCTATAGGGAGAACAGTTTAGAACTGATAGAGCTATCCAGTATATAAATAAAGTTAGTTTAGTTGAGGTTTCCTCCTGTAGTAACACTGGATCAATAAGAGATGATCCTTACTGGACCTCTAGAGAGAACAGTTTAGAACTGATAGAGCTATCCAGTATATGAATAAACTTAGTTTGGTTTCCTCCTGTAGTAACACTGGATCAATAAGAGATGATCCTTACTGGACCTCTAGAGAGAACAGTTCAGAACTGATAGAGTTATCCAGTATAAATAAAGTTAGTTTAGTTTAGGTTTCCTCCTGTAGTAACACTGGATCAATAAGAGATGACTCTTACTGGACCTCTTTAGGGAGAACAGTTTAGAACTGATAGAGCTATCCAGTATAAATACAGTTTAGTTGATGTTTTCTCCTGTAGTAGCACTGCATGAGCGGATCACCGGACGCCTAGGTAGAATGTTCTTTTGCACAACAGGAACTCAATCCATTCTTTTTGTTGATATTTAAAGACGAATTCATTTTGGCTTTTTTTTTCGTTCAGCTTGACTTGGTTGAAATTAAACAAGAGTTCTTGAATCGTTATCACAAGACAGTGTACAAGATGATTGAGGGAGATACCTCTGGAGATTATAAGAAACTCCTGTTGGCTTTGGTTGGACGTAATTAACATAATCTGCGCGCACCTGGAACTTTCTAAGAATTTTGTCATCGCTTCACTTGCCTTTCATTAACTCCATGCAATGGTGATTTAACTGTGTGAGTTTAATGTATTCGAATTATATGGATTTTTAATATCAGTTGACAAATATATAGGTGATATCAATTATTTAGTTTAACTTTTGCAATAATACAAGTGATGTCCGTATTATTTTGTGTCCGCGTTTTCATTGTCCTCGTGTCCGCATCTTTACGCATCTGTTCACAATTTAATAGACCTTATGCATAATGACGTCACAAGGCTTGATGTCCGCGAGGAATGTTGGTCTTAGTAGGCATCGCCCGGGAAAATTAAACAATTCAAAATGACCACTATCGAAATTTTCCCGGGCGATGACTACTAAGACCAGCATTCCTCGCGGGCATCAAGCCTTGTGACGTCATTATGCATAAGGTCTATTGTTCGCTTTAAGGCCCGTTTAGACTTGCAATTTTTGCTGCCGATTTTCCTCTTCTGCTGAATGTGAAAGAGCGAATGAGTTATGAATGACTGAATGTTCAGATGAAGGTACATTTTTCTCAGAACATTAATAGCTCCACCGCTCGTTCACATGCGTCAGAAGACGAAATTCGCACCAGTGTACACGGGCGTTTAGAATGTAGCTCGCGCGAGACACTAGAGAGTTTACGATTAACGATCTACGACGCGCGGCCGGCTCAACGACGCGGTCTAAATTTCAACTCGAGAATGAGCGCCAAGCAATTTGATTACTGTAATAAATACTAATTGACGCTTTTTCAAATAGCCTTACAAACTGCTAAGTTCGGCTAAAGCGATTGTTGTAATTTCAATTTTAAGTAACACCTCGTGGGTCGCATTAAGCTTTCACGTTGCTTGAAACACGTGATAATGCTTAGTAAACGTTGTGCTGAGCATGACAACGCCGTTGAGAATACCACTGGCACCACGAATTATTCACAGTTTTTGTCTTGCATGACAAATTTCTTTGTTTTGAAAGCGCGTCGTCTAGCCGGCCACGTCACGTAGATCGTAAACTCCCTATTATCTTGCGCATTAAGGTCGATTTCCACCACGCAACTTTTGCCTCAAACTGTCGCATGCAACCTGCTTACAACTTGAGTTGTACTGTGTAATTCAAGCACACAACTCACATGCGACAACGTGGGCAACTTGTGTGCTTGATTTACACAGTGCAACTCAAGTTGTAAGCAAGTTGCATGCGACGGTTTTACACAAGAGTTGTAAAGTCTAAATCAACCTTTATAATGAAGCAGACAAATCATTATTTCTTTAACAAGAAGTGCGCAAAATTATTTTGTTCAATTGTTACCATGAAACGCGTATGAAAATATTTAGGTATTAGCTGCATAGGGCGCGGGCAGTGTTCTTGTTTTTTTCGTAAACGCGCTTGATCAAATTTAAGCGGAAAATTGCAACAATGTTACACTATGCAACTTGTCTTGCAACTTGTGTCGCAATTGTAAGGTTAACATACATTACAAAAAAATTACATCGCAATCATCAAGTCTCGCAACATTTTTGTTGCAGCAAGCGTTGCGAAAAGTAGAACCTGCAACAAAATTCCGAGACAAGTTTCAAGACAAGTTGCATAGTGTAACAGCGCCTTTTACTAAACATTTAATTTTGAACTATAGATGAATAAATTCGCTCTCGCTATGTTAACTACTCTATGTGAATCTTTAATTCCACCGCGCAATATGGACGAAAAGTTATAAGGGTTAGCCTTTACTTTTTTCCCAATCTTGCCCGGCCCCTTTTCCAAAAATCAAAAAATTGCCCATAATGGACGAAACATTAAGGGGTTAGCCTTAATATTTTGCTATTTTTGGTGACTTTTTCACAAATCACAAAAGCGGTTGAAAATGGACGAAAAGCTATGGGCAAGCCTTTATTTTTTGCCATTTTTGGCCACTCTTTTGCTACTTTTAGCGACCTGTTTCAAAAATCACAAAAGTGATTAAAAAATGACGAAGGGTTAGCCTTTACTTTTCGCTTTTTTAACGACTCGTATGGTCACGAAAACAAGTATCCCCATGACAATGTCCACACTAACTGACCGTATGCCCAAGACCATGCTCAGATACATACCTAAAACATATATGTCCATGAGCAAGGGTATGTGAGCAAAGCGGAAAAGTCGAATACGAGCGCGAAAGGCTGCTGGGAATCGTTAATAAGCGACCTTTAAGCCTGCATCACACGAGAGCATACCAGATAAAGGATACCACATTTCACTACGTATACTTTTCCGAACGCCATGGCTAAAAGGTGTACTGAAATCTGGTTGAAAATTGCTTGATCGATATGATCAACAATTGGCTGAGAACATTGGATGATAAATCGAGCTATCTGCGGATCGTTTTCCTCGATTTCAGTAAAGCGTTCGACCGCATCGACCATAATATCCTGGTCCCAAAGTTGCTGGCCCTTGGCGTCAGATTGTCGCTTATTCCATGGATATGCAGCTTTCTCTCAAATCGCCGTCAATCGGTAAAGATCGACAATTTCCAATCTGATTGGGGCATCAATAACGCAGGTGTCCCTCAAGGAACCAAATTGGGCCCTATTTTGTTCATAATTATGATCAACGATCTTGAACTGGCATCCTCTATTGGAAATACGTGGATGACGTAACAATATCGGAGTCCTTAAAGAAAAACGAAGTTTCAGTCCTACAATCTGATCATAACACAATTGAAAGATGGACTGTTAATAACAACATGAAATTGAACGGAAAGAAATGCAAAGAAATGATAGTGAGTTTCGTCCGTAGCGAGAATCACATCCCCCGACTCCTCATTGATGGTTTACCTCTAGACTTAGTTCCTTCTTTCAAAATTTTGGGCTTAACCATGTACAATAAATTGAAATGGCAAGATAACACTGAAGCGTTAGTTAAAAAAAGCCTCAAAACGCTTATACATTATTCGTGTCCTACAGCGCTGTGGTCTTCCCCCCAATGACCTCTTACTAGTCTACTTTTCTATGGTGCGCTCTATCTTAGAATATGCCTGTCCTGTCTGGCACACCATGTTACCAAAGTGTTTGGGGGATAAAATTGAAAAAGTTCAAAAAAGAGCTTTCCGTATTATTTATCCGACAACAGATTACGAAGATGCTCTCAACATCGCTAAATGCAAGCGCCTTGTCGACAGACGTCAAGAGCTATGTGCTAAAACATTAAAAAAGATCTTAAAACCCGATGCTCACCTCAACCACCTCTTACCCCCACTCCGTGAAGAATCGCATGAACTGGACTTAAGAAACTATTCTAACTTCACATTAACTAAATGCAGAACGGAACGTTTTAAAACTAGTTTTATACCAGCAATGACTGCTAATTTTAATAGTAAATAATTTGTAGTATTTTAACAACTGTACATATACGATATATTTATATTTATATTATTTGATATTCATCTTTTATTATGTTTCTGTAAGCATATTGCAATTCACCTTCGGGTGCCAAAATGTGTTTCTTAATAAACCTTTAACCTTTAATAATAATACTTTTCCGAACGCCATGGCTAAAAGGTGTACTGAAATCTGGTATACTTTTTACCCACAGACTGCCACGCCTAAAAGTATAGTGAAATCTGATATGCTTCTTAGCCACAGACAGCAGTGACTAAAAAGTATAGTGAAATCTGGTATACTTTTTGGCCACAAATCGCCGTGGCTAAAAAATATAGTGAAATTTGATACACTTTTAGCCACAGAACAGCTGTGGCTAAAAGTATAGTGAAATCTTGCATACTTTTTAGCCAGAGACTGCCGTGGCTAAAAGTATAGTGAAATCTGATATGCCTTTTAGCCACAGACTGCCGTGGCTACTATATAGTGAAATCTGGTATACTTTTTAACCAAGGACAGCCGTGCCTAAAAGTATACTGAAATCTGATATGCTTTTTAAGCACAGAACAGCCGTGGCTAAAAAGTATAGTGAAATCTTGTATAATTATGTTTTAGGCACAGACCGCCGTGGCTATTTTGCTAAAGAGGAATATTTTCATGAGAATTCTGGATTTTGCTTCATATACTTGCGTGCTTATGAGAATCCCCTATTTTGGTGTCTCATAACACGCCATATAAGTACCTAAAATCTAGAATTTGCGGGAGCACGTTCAAATATGTACAAAAATAATGTTACTATTTCAGAACCATCCTCAGAGATACGAAAAAATAATTTCATATTAATCTGACACTGCAATCAAGCAACGAAAAATTGGTTGGCTCGAGCTGGATTTGAACTCGCATCTTCGAACGGGTATCTAGATCGCCGCTCGACCTATTGAGCTATCAAGTCAACAGGGATTGGTGCGAGTCTTATTCAATTTAAGTGCACGAAATATTTTCGTGTCGACTTAACGCTTGTCTTACAGGACGCGCAGTGTTTCAATTCTATTAACATGCACAGTGTTTTATTCTATTATTGTTAAGTCGTCACGAAAATATTTCGTGCATTAAATTGGATAAGACTCGCTACCACTCCCGGTCGACTCGATAACTCAATAGGTAGAGCGTGGTCTAGATACCCGAAGATGAGAGTTCAAATCCCGCTCGAGCCAACCAATTTTTCGTTGCTTCATTGCAGTGTCAGATTAATATGAAATTATCTTTTCGTATCTCTGAGGATGGTTCTGAAATAGAATTGAAACACTGCACGTCCTCTAAGACAAGCGCTAAGTCGTCACGAAAATATTTCGTGCACTTCAATTGGATAAGACTCGCTAACAATCCCTGTTCACTCCATAGCTCAATAGGTAGAGCGGCGTCTAGATACCCAAAAATGCGAATTCAAATCCCAGTCGAGCCAACCAATTTTTCGTTGCTTCATTGCAGTGTCAGATTAATATAAAATTACTTTTTCGTTTCTCTGAGGATGGTTTTGAAATAGTAACATTATTTTTGTACATATTTGAACAAATTCTAGATTTTGGTATATATATGGCGTGCTTATGAGACACCAAAATAGGGGATTCTAATAAGCACGCAACTATAAGAAGCAAAAATCAAAATTCTCATGAAAATCTTTCTTTTCCAGAATCCTCATCAGAATAGAATGCAAGAGTAACATTATTATTGTACATATTTGAACATGCTCCCGCAAATTCTAGATTTTAAGTACATATATATGACGTGCTTATGAGACACCAAAATGGGATTCTCATAAGCACGCAAGTATAGGAACCAAAATCCAAAATTCTGATGAAAATCTTTCTCTTTCGCAAAATTCGGAATCATCATTAGAATAGTCATGGAAAACTAACATATTTTTTTACATATTTCAACATGCTCCCGCAAATTCTAGATTTTAAGTACATATATGACGTGCTTATGAGACACCAAAATGGGATTCTCATAAGCACGCAAGTATATGAACCAAAATCCAAAATTCTCATAAAAATCTTTCTCTTTCGCAAAATTCGGAATCCTCATGAGAATAGTCATGCAAAAGTAACATTATTTTTGCACATATTTCAACATGCTCCGGCAAATTCTAGATTTTAAGTACATATATGACGTGCTTATGAGACACCAAAATGGGATTCTCATAAGCACGCAAGTATAGAAACCAAAATCCAAAATTCTCATGAAAATCTTTCTCTTTCGCCAAATTCGGAATCCTCATGAGAATAGTCATGCAAAAGTAACATTTTTGTACATATTTCAACATGCTCCGGCAAATTCTAGATTTTAAGTACATATATGACGTGCTTATGAGACACCAAAATGGGATTCTCATAAGCACGCAAGTATAGAAACCAAAATCCAAAATTCTCATGAAAATCTTTCTCTTTCGCCAAATTCGGAATCCTCATGAGAATAGTCATGCAAAAGTAACATTTTTGTACATATTTCAACATGCTCCGGCAAATTCTAGATTTTAAGTACATATATGACGTGCTTATGAGACACCAAAATGGGATTCTCATAAGCACGCAAGTATAGAAACCAAAATCCAAAATTCTCATGAAAATCTTTCTCTTTCGCCAAATTCGGAATCCTCATGAGAATAGTCATGCAAAAGTAACATTTTTGTACATATTTCAACATGCTCCGGCAAATTCTAGATTTTAAGTACATATATGACGTGCTTATGAGACACCAAAATGGGATTCTCATAAGCACGCAAGTATAGAAACCAAAATCCAAAATTCTCATGAAAATCTTTCTCTTTCGCCAAATTCGGAATCCTCATGAGAATAGTCATGCAAAAGTAACATTTTTGTACATATTTCAACATGCTCCGGCAAATTCTAGATTTTAAGTACATATATGACGTGCTTATGAGACACCAAAATGGGATTCTCATAAGCACGCAAGTAGATGAACCAAAATCCAAAATTCTCATGAAAATCTTTCTCTTTCGCCAAATTCCGAATCCTCATGAGAATAGTCATGGAAAAGTAACATTATTTTTGTACATATGTGAACGTGCTCCCGCAAATTCTAGATATTAGGTACATATATGGCGTGCTTATGAGACACCAAAATGGGATTCTCATAAGCACGCAAGTAGATGAACCAAAATCCAAAATTCTCATGAAAATCTTTCTTTTTTGCAAAATTCGGAATCCCCATGTGAATATCCATGCAAAGGTAACATTATTTTCGTACATATGTGAACGTGCTCCCGCAAATTCTAGATATTAGGTACATATATGGCGTGCTTATGAGACACCAAAATGGGATTCTCATAAGCACGCAAGTAGATGTACCAAAATCCAAAATTCTGACGAAAATCTTTCTCTTTCGCAAAATTCGGAATCCTCATGAGAATAGTGATGGAAAAGTAACATTATTTTTGTACATTTTTCAACATGCTCCCGCAAATTCTAGATTTTAAGTACGTATATGACGTGCTTATGAGACACCAAAATGGGATTCTCATAAGCACGCAAGTAGATGAACCAAAATCCAAAATTCTCATGA